ATGTTAAATACTTTATTTTCATTGACGTTTCATTGTATATCACAACATTGTCAAAACTAATGAATAATTGAATGTTATGAATTACAATAGATATCAAAACGTCAACCTTATTTCTTTGAACAAATCAAATTGGCTTTTTTGTGTTTTTACAAATTCATTTTTAGTATTCAGAGGAGTATTTCTGTATTAGCATTCGCTACGGAAGTTTTGGTCTTCTTCACCATGAGGAAACCTCTGAAAAACTCATGGTAAGCCAGGTGAATCTAATGAGTGATTGATGAGAGTGATTTATATATACATACATAAGTACATATAATTACACATAGTTGGTTTTATATTTTTTTACTGAAAATGAATATGTGAAAATACAAAATATATTGCTAAAAACATTAAAAACATATATATATATATATATATATATATATATATATATATATATATATATATATATAAATATAATTCTACTGTACGTGTGTTACTGAACTACTCCCAAACGGCTGGACCGATTTTGTTGAAATTGTGTGTGTGCCTGTGTTGAAGTGGATTCAAGAATGATTTAGATTCGCAATTGGATCCGGTAGGTGGCGCTGCAAATGAGTTCTTGAAATCTTCGAATTAGAAATGTGTTACCGGTCAATCGGTTCATTAGTAACATCGCGTTCACTAGTAGTAGCTTTTGATGTTGAAAGTATGATGAAATAACAAATTGAATTAAATTAAAGTTCATACATATAAATTTATCAAAATTATCTATTATATTCTACGTAATCATACAAATACCTAAACAAAATATGTATACTATAAAAAATGTATTTTTTGCAATAATTATTAAGTACATATACATTATTAAGTATAAATACATGAAACATTTCGAAGACACTAATATGACATTTTTTTGCATGTTGCCACCGATTTGACCAAAATGGTTGAAATTGATGAACAATTAACAGTGATACTGACATTTTTTCCATTGTGACAATGGAACGCTCTTTTTATGTTGCTTTTATTCCGTTTCTGTGCACAACGTTCCATAAGAAGCACAGATTCAAATCTAATGATTGCACTATATTCGAGTGCAAACACAGAAATAATACGAAACAATGGAAAATCATGAAATTTTTTTATATTCGACATGGTTCGATTCAGTTTTCTGGGCGTTTTACACGAAATGACCTCATTTCCTCCGACACGTTACTATTGCATGGGCGCCGCCAAGATTACTTTCAGGGAGGAGCAGCTGCATCAACATAATATATTATACCATGTGTATAAACTAATGTAAAATGTGCAATTATACATGTTTATTGAGTAGATAAATGTAATGTCAATGTCATTGAATATAGTTCGCTCATATTTGAAATATTAGCGGAATAAAACTCAGTACGTCTGTTTGACAGATCCACATAAGCAAGGTTGCCGTTTCGTTACTATTGTGCCCAATTTAATGAATTTTTTTCACTTTCGCAAAATTCTGTGCGGAGGTAAGTGCAAAGTTTTGTAAAAACCTTTTATTTGAATATAAGAGTGGAGTAAATATTTCCATTCAATTGTAGCGAACCCAGACTTTTGACCGATTTAAAAAATGACCGCGATTTGCGAATATTAAGGATTTTATTGTATTGAAAAAAGAAAAAAGACTGTAAAGAACCGCCATTTTCGAAACTATAAAATTTGCTAAAAAACTAGAGATCATTACCACAAGGGACTGTGACGAATGAACTTTTCCGCTCCAACTTAAAATGAATATCGCAATTATATAAGTCTTCATTAAAAAAATTCATTATTTGCTTAAATTTTAATTAGTTCGAAGGAATAATAACTGCCCAGAAATCAATTTTATTTTTATCTTAATTTTGTTTTTTTGTAATGTTTCCTGGAGTATTTTTGTGAACTATGTATTTTCGTTTCTTCATGTTTTCAATTTTATAGTTCATCATTCAGTTTAATATTATGCACTTTCCTAAACAATAAAAGAGTGCAAATTCTTATTTCATTCAATTTGAAATTCCCGTTTTTCTCTACATTTAATTTTGAAATTTATATACATTGTCGAAACAGGTTGAGTCAATGCAAAAAAGTGGTCCAAAACTCTATTTATCTGATGAGTGTACAATTGTTAATTTAACGTCATTAATTGTTATTCAAACAATACCTAATTGAACAAAAATTTGAGTTAAAGGACTATACGTCAGAAGTAGAAACTTCTTATTTTCACAAAATTGAAAAAAAGCAGTTTTTATACTGCTTCTATAAGATAGAGTACGATTAATATTTCACTTCGTCCTCATGTACAACGTCATGTTCAAACCAATAAGGGTTTATGATTAACAATCATAATCAATTAGGATAATGGTTCTTGCTAAAAGCAACGATCATTCAGTACCTGAATTTCAATAACTACCTACTTTATGTGTTCTCAATAAAAATAAATGCGAATTTTTTACTTTTAGATTATTAAAATTACCAGAATAATTTTATCCCGTGTATTCAAATACTGAGATCTGCCTAAACCGTTTTCGCGATGTTTCGTAGCCCGGTTTAACAAAAATTTCCATTAACCTAGAAAAATTCATACGAATTCTGGTATTCCCCGTCAAAAAAACATGAATAATGTCACATTCAGAAGGCGTAACTAGATATAGTTCAGGAGAAAGTAAATATATGTAGCTAACAAAAACTGTCGCGGATCTTGTCTTCATCAAACGTAGGGGAAACATTGCAGCGGAAAACAGAAACAGTGGAGCGAGTACAGTTGAAACTTACCTAATTTTTCAAATAGCATAGCAAAAATAGGTTAAACGTATTGAAAAAATTTTACGTTGCATTAAACATCTTTTATGAATGTATACATATGATTTTGAGTAATGAAAATTAAATAAACTATTGAAATGAATGGGGTGTTTATTACACAGAAGCGAATACTTCGATTAATATCAATATTCATCAACAAACTTCTTGTAAACTTATCTTCATTAATAATTACATACTCACCTTACCTTGTTTATATATTTAAAGATGTTTACTATATGTTGAAGAAAATTAAGATAGGTTTTGAATAGTAATCATGAGTACTCAACAAGGTACAGTTATGAGCTACTTATTCATGAGCATAAAACAGCTTAATTTGAGTAATCACTCTATTATCAGAGTATTAAAATCTTTAAATTTGAAATTTCTGAAAGCTCATTTGTTAAAGAAGAGAGTTAAGTCATTGATATTAACAAAGACAGTTTGGCAGAGTACTTCGATGATTCGAATGTAGGCAATAATGTATGAATCAATTTTTTGTATCATATGTTTGTTTATTTTTTTACCACGAATGTCCCTCACCATCTGAAATTGTCTCAAATGTTTAATATTTCTAAGGTAATTTTTTTTCTCTTCAATTATAGTTGTATATTATTGTAAATATAAACTGAACCAATATTTTTCAAAACCAACATTTTTGTTCGTGGGCCGAATGGAAGATCACACTCAAAACTGAATTCAGTCCTTTTGTGAGCATTCTTCTTAGTTGTAATTATTGAATGTAATTTTACAAGATAAGGAATTTTTCTGAATAAACTTTATTATCATTATTATACTGGTTCTTTTTTTTTGAATAAATATATAGTTTCTAGTGAAGTAGTTCATGAACGTCTTTAAGACGTTTTAATGATTCTATATTCTTATTTTATAAAAAATATTCGGATTAACCGAAATTTTCGATTATCCGAAATTACTTCGGTTCACATTATTTCGGATAATCGAAATTCAACACTATAATCATTTTTATGTATTTTCTGTCGTGATAAGGGGCATGTTGAGGTGTAAGTGCACTCCATAGCACCCTGCTGTCGACGCTTATGCCTTACTACCTATTCAAAGTTGCGATAATTAGTTTCGTTATTACGGGCATAATAATGCACCGATTGGAAGGAAAACTCTCGAAACAAAAAGATAAATATTTATTCACCATTTCCGAACATGATAATGATCGCTTCACATGAAGTTTATTGCCGAAGGTTTCAGTTTCAAAATATATCAACTGTGAAACCGACATGTGTCGTAAAACTTAAAGTATTTACAGAGCGGAAATATTTATAATGCTAGAAGTTACACATCAGTTGACATATTTATTTTTACTTTTTCCATTTCCAGAAGTCACGCCCGATACCCCGTCACCGTCCGTCAATCTCGTTCTCCAGACATCGGGACGATTGTAAAACGAGATTTAGATGTGCGCGTAAACTACACCCAAACCTTTGGAGCGTTCGGGCTTGCCGCAGACTGAAGAGGGAATTAACTTACATTTATTGCAAGAGCGCTCGAATTTTGCTGAAAATTATGTGTAAAATTTTCTACCTACAGGTAACGACGGCAATTAGCGGCCATTGGCCTTGAAAAGAACGTACATTACCATTGAAAATCCTAATTTTGACACTAAATTCGTTACACAAACGTTGTCAACGAGAACGAACCTATCACTTTCGAGAGTGAATATTAACAATTGTTTCATCATTATGAGGAATCAGCAGTCTTATTCGATTTAACAATCAATCAAGAATTGATGACTTTGAAAACGCCCCTAGGTCCTATATCCTGAATGAAGGGAGCATTGGTCGTGAACTAATCACGTGAGCTCCCTCTATCGGGAAAAAGGCTTATAAATTCTCTCCAGTATTCTAGATTCATGCTCCTGAAATATTTGTGAGAATGCGTGGAGGCTTTGCAAACATTCAAATACTCCAGAGGTTTGTCTGTAGGGGTGTTTGAATGTGTTAAAGGTGGGTCTAAGAATGATCCAATTCCTAATCGCTCCAGAGTACTCCCAGGAGGGCAAAAAGTTAACTAGTTTCGAGATTCGTGAATATAAAGTAAGTGTAAACTTGTGAAATACGCTGTGAAACTGAGCCAGCGTATTTTTGTAATATTTTGTAATTTGATAAATCAGTTTTCGGTAATTTTCCTTTGTTTGATCCTAGGTTAAATGACAACTTGGTGTATGAAACATATCTGTAGCCGATCTCCGTGGCTTAGTCGGGAGAACACCTGATTGTGGTGCAGTAGGACTCGGGTTCGAGTACCGGCGAAGGCTCGAAACTAAGTGTTTGTGTTTCTCTATGATTTGAATAGTTTAATGATGATAATTGTTGGGTAATGTACACTGATTACACGTCGATTGGCCTTTCGGAACCTGCGTTAAAGTGTAGGTCCAATGAATTTAAAAAAATACATATCTGTACTTAATACTCACAAATTCAAAATCTGCATTAACATAATTATATTGGCACGATACAGTTCAAGGTGTTATTCACTGAATTAAATATTTCCGTTTTGAAAAAACTTATATTGTAAATGGAAAATTAAATCTGATAAGAACAACAAATTTCCATTAAACCAATTAACATAAACATATATAAGAGTTTCATGAAATGTGAAATCATAATATTTTATACAAATTATTTCTCCAAAATTTATTTCGTTTGGACTACCTACTAACCTAATCAAAAAAATAGTCCATATCGCAAAGTTTCAAAGACTAATTGAACTGTATCATAAGTACGTACATGGAATGTTGTTTTAAAATTAGCTTCATCGTCTCCTTGAGAACCACTGAAGTTTTAATCACTATTAAAATATTTGATTGGTATGATGTAATGATAGTAGAAACAAAACTTAACCAGAAACAAAACTGACTAAAAAAACTCAAATCTTGAATTCCAAATATAAAGTTGTTAGTTCAACATATCCTGGCAATTTATAACATTTTTTTTTCACTGTGATACATAGAAACTACGTTTTCTTGTATATAGTAAGAGTGGTTATCAAACGCCATCTAACAATAGAGTTGCTATTTGAAACGACATGAATTTAGAAACTTTAAATGTAAGTTTTGATTTCAACACGTCATTTTAGATTATCGTAAATATATATTTTTTATCTTTTCATATACTATTTTACGATTTCAACTCAAATATAAACAGTCAATTTATAGCTGCTTCAGAGTGGCACATAGTCCGAATTTCTATCGACACTTTCTCATAACTGGACGACCTCTTTTTCATCTAAATTTATCAATTCGCGGAATCTTAGACGCGAAATATAAACATCGAGTGTGTCGCCAAGCATTCGTAAAGCATCGTTTCACACCCCAGTTGTTGATATTCGGCTAGCACATCTCCGATTAAAATAGATACTACAGCGACGGTATAGTTTATCATGATAATTTGTCATAACCCCAGAGTGAATAGTACAGTTAATTACCCATAAAACAATTTCATCTGCGTAGGCGCGAGCAATGCCACCATCAATTTCCTAGCCAGTCAATTATAATTAGTTACTATCCTGAAGGAATACGTGCTTGCATGATGGTATCTTCGTACAATCATATGCAACTGTCTAAGTACGTTCACGTCACAGCGTTATGATTGAGGTTAGATCATTATCTAGAACATCGAGTTTCCCAAGAACTGGGTAATCTAATTTCGAACATAAACTCTTCTTTAAAAAATCTATTCACCCAATCAAAACAATTTCTCAACATTTTAGATATGTATACGGGGTGTTAGGTAAATACGCGGCAAAATTTCATGGGATTTGGACATACGAATGTAAATACCTAGGAATTATACTGATTCGAACCTTAAATGGGATTTCCACGTCAGAAACTTAATTGCTAAGCTTAGAAGATTGATATCCAAATTTCAAGAACTCTCAATTATTCTAGATGTGAAACATCTAACAATAATTTACAATTATTCTTAAATAAAGTTCTGGCGGAGTCTCTGATACGATATGGTATTGTTGCGTGGGGTGGTGCCTATCATACAGTAATAAAAAAAAACTCGAAATTAAAAAAATGGCTGCTGAAAATCCTTCATGAAAAAGATATCAGATATCCGAGTGTCTTTCTGTATAAAAAAGCTGACATACTGGATATACGATATAGAAGGAAATCTTTATCAATTCCGCACTACAGTAAATCTATACCTATGTCTTCGTAACTACTCCTATTTGGCATCAAGAATGCCCTTCTTGGGTGTCTAAAATGTAAGTCTGTGCCCATCTCTCCGAATCTTACCTCGCTAATGAACGATCCAACGCCAATTCAAGCTGCCAATCGTTCTATAACATCTGGTATGCTGGTTTTGTCTTGTAACTGACTGTTCCGCAAAGTTATTCTCAACTTTGCCCATACTCTTTCTCTCAGCTGTTCCGCTACTTTTTGTGTTATGACCATCGTTTTCAAGGAGTATGTGAGGTACTATGCTGTTCGAATAAATTGGGACAAACATTTTTTTTTTTCGTTTGAGTTACTGCAGTAAGTATGTGAGTACCAGGGTGGCCCAAACACCCTCACACCTGCTTGTTTACTACCTGACGTGACGTGAGGGTTCGACCTTGACCATCATTTACTTCGTTACCGGTTTCACTTCGCCAGCAATTCAAGTGTCAGCCTACCGGTGCGACAATTGGTGGTTTCAATTTTGATACGTGCTGTATTGTCTTCTCCAAAGATGGATATCACTCCGAGGAAGCGTTCCAAAATTATCGCGCTTAATGAACACACATCAATGACTGTAAGAGATATAGCTGAAGCTGTTGGTGTGGGAAAGTCCAGCGTTTCGAGAATTTTAAAAACATTGGAAAAAAGTGGCACATCGTCTCCAAAAAAAAGGAAACTGTGGCCGCAAACGCAAACTACCTCAAGAACAGAGAAATTGTTGATAAGAAATAACAAAATTAATCCGAAAAGACAAGCACTGATCTTCGAAGGGATTTAATGGTTTCTGGTGTGGAGGTGAGCACCTCAACTGTGCGAAAACGACTGATGGAGGTTGGCCGTAAGGCAAGAAAAAAGCAACTGCTTAACCAGAAAATGATGAAGAAAATTTTGGCATGGGCCAAAAAGTACCGTGCGTAAATGATGAAACACATCTGTTTGTTCAAGGGTACAAATCAAGTGCTGTTAGACGAAGTGATGGGGAAACTTTGCGGCCTGATCACATCCAGCAAATAGTAAAACATCCTTCGAAACAAATAAATGTTTTGGTGTTTTTTCACAACCAATGGCACTGAACGATTAGCTCCTATAACAGGGATGATGAATTCAGTGAAATATATGGAAATATTGCGCACCAGGATTGTTCCATTTATGTAAACTTTCGATGGAACATTTCAGCACGACCTGGCTCCCTGCCACAATTCCAAACAAGTGCGTGAAAATGAAATAAAAGCACCCGATTGAGAATTTATGGAATATTTTGAAGAAACGACTGGCAAAAATGGATTGCACTACAGAAGAAAAAATGATTTTAAGTGCAATTCAGGTGTGGTTGCATGATGACAAATTGAAGAAAATCTGCGCTACGCTAGTGGAATCGATGCTTAGACGAGTCCAAGAAGTTATTTCGCGACAGGAGGACATACTTTATATTAATATGAAGAATTTACGCTATTTTGAATGTATCTACTTCATTAAAAGGTAAGATTTTACGAAAACGTTGTTTTTTATCCTTTGTCCCAATTAATTCGAACAGCATAGTAGTATGAAGCTATCATGAGGTTTTCTATTTAGATGTCATGTTCCTCTCACTTATCCTTGAATATGTAGTTCAGTTTCCCAAAAGTTATCCATGGAGTGAATTAATTTCTGCGATTTTCTTTTCCCAGTTTGATTTTTTATCCGAGATTTATGGATGTTATCTACCCGACAATAATCACAGGGCCTTTTTTATTTGGATGTTGAATCACCACATTGCAGTTTGGCTCGTAATTTTTAATACCGTTATCGATGGATTGATCCACTTGTGGCAAACGAATGGCGTGCTGGATACCCAGATTGAACATTCGGGATTATTTCTTCTGCGGATCTCTGAAGTCATTAGTTTATGCTACTCCAGGAGGGAATTTTAACGATTTGGGAAAACCGACAATTGCTGTGTGTAACGCAATTAAAAATTATCCTGGATAATTTGAAAGCCAGCTAAAATTATACAACAACTTCTATATTTCGATAATGAAATGTTTTGACTGTCCCAAATTCCGTTCGTCATGTATCTTCAAACTGAAGAGGTTTTTGAAGGGTCATCCTAGGACGAAATAATTTTATAATAAGATTATCCCCTTGATTAGCCCAAGAAATATCCCCTTGATTTTTTGCTGTTGTTTTCTTAACACTCTGTATACAAACTCATAACTAAAGTTCAAAAAAATATTCGTCTAACTGTCAGAAGCACAATGTACCATTAGGGAGTTATTTTTACATCAAATGATAAACAAAAAACAACACAATATGTTATTTCGAACAAATGCTTCAAGAGTGGGTATTGATGATTTAGTAGTTCAATATTGGAAATACCTGATAATCCTAACGACCGATGTTTACTTTGAGAACCACAATGACACAGTGATCTACATTTACAGAAACATTGATTATATTGCAAATGTATCTTGGATATGGGCGAAGTGTATATAGGTCAAGTTTATTAAATTTTCGTTAGATCATACGTAAGGTTATCATCAATATGAATATGCAAACAATGATAACATATATCGTCAATAAATTGTTATCATCAATTGAATATGCAAAAAATCATATTGACGATATCATATATCGTCAATATGAATATGCAAACAAAATAATCTTGAGTAAACACCCTGTTGAATACCTTATTTCATTAAAGAGGTTTTTTTTTGTCAAATATTACTATTTCCTATTAATACTTATATATGTGTTGTAAACTATTGTGCATAAAATGTTCTTTTTCGAGCATAGAAGTATAATCGAGATATGAAAATATAATAAAAATATTGATCAAACAAAATTTAATTTTCAATACTTGAATGGAATATTCTTATTTTATTCATAAATATAATAACTCCAAATTTATATTAGACCATAATCGCTCACCAAGAAGTTATTGCCTTATGAAGGGATGATACCCCCCAAGTTGAAAGTGACTGTATATTATATGAAAATGTAAAGAAAAATATTAAAATAATAAGTGAAGCAAGGGAATAAATTTAAACTATTATTGGGCCACAAAAATATATTTTATAATTAGAAAAACTTTGTTAAATTCCACGAAAAAT